CGCTGCCGGCCCGCTCTTCTCGGCCCTGATCCCGAGTTGCCTTCGGAAGGTGGAACAAAATGGCGAAACCTAACATGGCCGTTCGGAGTTGGTGACTCCAAAATAAACAGCGTGTGTCCTTCCCTCCCTGCAGACCGGGTGTGCCAGCAGCCGGGGCTATCCCTCTGGGTCCCCTTCCAGAACGCCGCCACTGCGGTCACCAACCTCTACAAAGGTAAGGGGCTGGCTCCCCCCCGCTGCCCTGGCAGCCCTCCCTGCTGAGCTGGGCCCCACTCTTGACTCCTGCCCCGGCTTACTCATAAGCAGGGCCTGTTAATGTCTCTTATTCACCCTGATAAAATCTAACCCGAGACTGCATCCTGAATCTTGCAACTTTTCCCTGGGCCACTTTAGCTGACGGTAGCTGAATCTTTTTTTGTTGCCTCATGTCAGTGACTAGTAACTTAAAAGTTGTTTGAGACCCTTGAAAAAGGATGTGTTAAATGTGTAACTCACTCTCATGGATTCAAGGGAAGAGTGCAATAGCTTGTTAAACAGTACTTAAATTTCCTGCATTTTGTATGTTGCATGGTGTATTAAATGTTGAGATATCAGTACATATACATTTGTGGTGAAGCATAGGTTGGGTGTTGTGTTTGTAAAATTCTGCAGAGATGTTATGTGACAAAGTTTTATCTTCTTGTGACAGTGAGGCTTCTTCAGTAAGCCTCCCAGTTTATTTTAAGCACTGAATGTCACTATGACTGTGTCCAGGGTGGCTGTAAGAAAGCAATATTAGCCAAAACTTTGATAAGAGTGCACTTTGCATGAGGTAGTGCTTTTGTGCTGTTTTACCGTGTGTTTCTGTTTGTCAGGATCTGTTTCTGAACTCTGCAGTTCTTTGGGTTGTCACAAATTCTTGTCTGCAGAAGAATCATTTGGTGGTTTCTAGTTTATTGTATCTATATCAGTGGAGGCTTAAATTGACACAGTGTGGTTTCCATTGTTACTGTCTTCCATTCCTAGGAAGGAAAAAACTTTAAAATTCCAAGTTGTTTTTCTGACTTGTAGTTTGATTTTGGTTTTGAGTTGTGGGTTTGTTTTTTTTTCTCTTGGTCTGTACAGCGTTATCTATAGTTCTTCCTATATATCATTTGTTTCTAGTTTTCCCTTTTTGGATTTGCTTTAAGCAGTTGAACTTCGTAACGTGTTTGTGATGGCTGATTAGGTTTCTGGCAGAGCAAGGAGGAAATGTAGATGCGTAACCCTTGCTGCCAGAGACTTGACTCTTGCAGAAAATGCATTTGAATGTGGTGTGTCTGTCATAGGTCATATAAGGGGGCAGCACATCACCTAACAGGTTAGGTGTTGGCCTGAGGGAGTGGGTCACTAGAACATGGACTGGGACGCTGGTCACTTGAGCATGGTGCTAGAGTAGCAGCAGGTAGTGTTAATAAATTGTCTGGAATAATTATAGTATTTTTTTTTTTTTACAAATGGCACTGCTCTCCCTTACAGCATCTTTACTACGAAGACTCAGGCTGTTTATTTTTTGTTAAATCATTTGATTACTTGTGCTATAGGCAAAATAAGCCCTATTTTTCTGCAATAATATGATTAACAATAGAGTACGTATGTAGTGATCAGGGAAACTAGAATTTAAGTAGGAAGCTGTCTTTAGTCAGGTGTAATGTAATACTTCAAGAAGCAGCACAAATCTTTCCTTCAAACAGACCTTTAAATGCTGAAGTGCCTCCGTTACTCAGAACTGCCATCTTTCAATTTTAAATTAACTTCCAAGTGGGTAGAAATTTGTTGAGAACACAGATGGAGCCATCTAGACACTGGCATACCAGGCAAGTTGGAGTGTCTTAATGTGAATTTGCCTTCCCTAGCGAGGAACATGGCTCTTTAAAAATCTCCTGTTGTTTCTTGCATACTCAGTAATGTCTGTGTTTTGGAGGGCTCTGTCAAAACACTGGAGAAGTATTTGGTGTGGTAAACTGAACATCACCACTGCCCTGTCAGCTAGTTTCTGATCTGATAAATGTTTGGATTTTTGAGGCATTGGAATTCTTTTTAACAAGAGCTGCATAAAGAATAGTGCATAAGGAGAATGCCATGGTGTCTTGAATGTCAGCATTTTTTTCTGAAAATAGATTAGAAGTTTAATATCATACCACACTGTGAAGGTCTTGGATCACAAATTTCTGACTAGTGCTGGTGATAGAGGCTTTTAATTATCAAGACATTTGATTATCTTCCAGATTGTGCTGAAGAAGTGAAGGCATGGCTTGTAATGTAGGATTTAGAACTTAAGGCCACTGTAGAAAGTCCTAGGCATATATTAGAATAAGGCTTCTGAGCTAACAATTTACCTTATTTCTATAAAGAAAGCTGAATGTTTGCTAATGTTAGTTTTGACTTACTAATTTCAGAATGTATGCAACTTGACTGCTTTTATTTTGCCAGCTTAACTTTGTAAGCAAAGTAGTTGTAGCTTTTGCTGTAAAAATCTAATCTTTCCCAGGGTAATGACGCTTGAAATTTGTCCAGGCTACATCAACAGTCAGTGTGTGTGACCTCATAACTAGTTCCTAGTTAGTCCTTTGTGAAGCATTCTCGTATACAAGGAAAGCAGGTTATTGATGTAAAGCTGGGCTCCTCCCTCTGAGGGACTTTCTGATGGTATTTCTGGAAGTGATGAAAGGAATATTGTCAGTTTCCAACTTGGCTCCCAAGTGTTTGGGTAGCTTTTACTGTGAGTGCACTGGAGTCTTAGCTGCTGTGGAGTATAAAATGGCTGGAGGAATAATCTGTCATGTTGGCATTGCTTTCACAGGAGTTAGCATTTGTAAATCTTCTAGCCTTTTGATTACAAAGTAGCCTAGGCAAAATACTCTGAGTCCATAAGAGTGACTAACATTTTAAGTGTAGTCTATGTATACTGATATGGCTTGTATTCTAAAAGTCCCAAGATTTAACTGTGATCGGTTTTAGATGTTTTTCTTTTTTTGGTAAGTTGTGTTATGTTTGAAGTGTTGGTCTTTGATAGTGTAGGTTTTAGCGGACCATGCAGTGATGCCTTAGAATATAACTCTAAGAATAGCATTTAATAGTGATTATTTTTTGGTTTTTTTGAGTGTGAGAACTAGATTAGATATGTGTGTCACCGTTTACCTGTAAACCAGTATCTTGGACAGCTGTCCTTAAATTTCTTTCATATTGTTCTGGGAAAAGGGCTTTTATGTTGGACTTCAGTAAAGCAAGAATATAAAAAGCTGTGTTAATCAGCTCTGCTAGATTTAAAAAAAAAAACTATGGAAATGGAGTAAATGAAACTGGGAGTGGATATGTTAATGTCTTTTAATGGAGCAAGAGCGACATAGCAGAGCGGCAATTTTCATAAAACTGAAATAACTTGACAAAGCTCTGATAAAAAATCTGTGACAAACAAGATGAGCATAATTGTGTAGAGAATAGAGTTTGTCCTACCTGTTACTGTTGTCTGAAACTTACTCGTAATTAAACTAATAGCCAGAAATGTACTTACTGAAGTTTGAAAGAAATGTAATAACAAGGCATTTAAGTGTTTTGTAGAGGCAAGTTTATAACTGATGTGCATAGGTGACCAGTTACATCAATGGAGAATGAAATTGTACTTTGCAATAGGATTAGTTTTAAATAATACGTGTTTAAAGCTTTTGTGTGTCAAACTTGCAATGAGTTCTCAAATGGGAGGGAAACTTTCTTTGGCGTCCTTTGTAAATGGTATGTTGCCTAATTGAAAGGCATTGGGGACACTTATAACTAGTTTCAAAACTGTGGTCTCCTGCGAATTGCCTCTGCAATTGAGATGGAACTCTAAAGACTCTAAAGAAATCTGAGTTTTTTTGAAAATTCCTTACTTATCAGAATCAAGAAAAGCAGTTAATCTTTTTTTTATGTGAGGTTTTCTGACTGTAGTGATGCACTTTAAGAGTGTGTCTCAAAGTGTGTTGATTTTAATTACCTTCCTCTGACAAGCTCAAGGTGCATTTTTAATGTTAATACAATATGGTTTTGTAAACAGTGCTGTAGTGTTGACCTGAGGTATAGTAAATGCTATCTAGATGGTGCTTGAGTTGCTGTTGACTTTGACTTGTAAAGGGGGTGGAACTTTTTAGCTGATACTCTCTTTCTAGGTTTAATGGAACTCATCTTCAATGCTAGCTAATTTGTTACAGCTAACTTGGTACTGCGTTAAAGTAACCTGTAGAAGATATACTTTCCCATGGTTGACGGGAAGCCATATCAGTGATGTGCCATACTATACATTGCTCTATCTGTAACACTAAGAAAACTTTTTTCTATCTTCTTGCAGAAAGTGTCGATGCTCATCAGCGAAGCTTTGATGTAGGAATTCAGATTGGCTATCAGCGTCGGAATAAGGATGTGTTAGCTTGGGTTAAAAAACGCAGAAGAACTATTCGTAGAGAAGACTTGATCAGCTTCCTTTGTGGAAAAGTTCCTCCTCCAAGAAATTCTAGAGCTCCCCCAAGACTGACTGTAGTATCCCCTAACCGAGCTACTTCAACAGAAACTAGCTCATCTGTAGAGACTGATTTGCAACCCTTCCGTGAAGCCATAGCTCTGCATGGTAACAGTAATTTTTTCAATACTACTTGGTTAACATTGGGTGGGGGTTCTTAAAGCATGTCTGGCTCTTGGCCGTTGTTGCTGTCATAATGTCATATACCGGATGTTCCAGGTGAAGGTATCCCCTTCATTCTCCAAGGATGTTCTTGCATGTGTAAGGCATGTTAGCTACTAAAAAGATGCATTGCCAAATATTTTGAATGGGGAAGAGGTATTGTATCAAAATGACGTTTGGATCTGTAATATTCTACAGGTGTGAACTCAACAGTTAAGTATCAACTGTTGGTAGTGTTTTTGAAGCATGAAGAGACTTGGCATTCATACTGATGCTGAAGTAAAAAGAATTCTTTGGAAAATGATGATACTATGCTAGCAACTAGTTAAATATTAAGATTTGGGTAGTAGCAAATAACTAACAAATTTTTGTGGGATTAGGGAGGGATTTAGTGTCTGAAACTTCTCACTGGGGTACCTTACCTCACTCGAGTACCCTTCTTGTTATGCACTGGATAATATGGTTTAGCATTCTACTTAAAAGTACCCTGGAGAGGGTACTTTACTTGCACATCATTGCAATAATTGAGTCCTGTTCAGAACTTAGTTCTAGTTCACTTCTAGACTTAAATGTCTTCCAACGTCATAATGAATTTCCTTCCTTGCCATCACCAATGTTGGTGGTCTGTCTTTTCTCCTTTTCATATATGAACAGTCAGTAGCTTATTCTGTTTTGGACTATTACCTAGCAAGTGATAAAGAAAAATGTGTTTTAAACTGCTCCTGAGGTGAAATGAAGCAGTTCGCCTGTGGGTTTTATGCCTTGTAAAATTCTAGAGGGTAGTGGATACCTCGAGATATAAATAGTAGACCATTCAAAAAGTAAAAATCAAGCTATCTAAAAGTACAACCTGTGAAACTTAAATGAAATTTTTACTCTCCCGGTATTCTCAGCGGGGAGTGGAATTAATAAGTTAATTAGATGAGTAGATTCCTGAAAATGCAGTCTTCTGCTATGCTGTTGTGGTTTTTCAAGATAAGCCAGATGCTGTTACTGTCTAGGTGACAGCCTAATTCTGGTATTGTTTGCTGCTCTGTTGCCATTTAAATCAAGCATACTTCCACCCAGTCATGTAGTTTTTGGCAGTTTTCCTTCTCCTATTGGAAGCTGGCTAGAGAATTTTGTGCACCAGTATTGCTTATTCAGTAGGTAAAGCTAATTTCATGAGGAGGACAACTGCAGAAGCTGGCTCTTAATCTTATATGATGTGATAAACACCCTCTTAAAAAAAATCTCGTTTTCTGAAACTATAGTTGAATCTGGTGTGCAGTTGGCTTTAAATACAAAGGCCTACTCTCAGGTGAGAGTTACCTAGGTATGCTTGCTTCAGCACAGTGAGATCTCAAGCAGAGTAAACTCAGAGGCATTTTTATTGTAATATGGCTATTTTCCTGTCCTTTTGTTGTTTCTTGGCATCTGCTTTGTGACTTCCATAAACCACCTCTATACTTCTCTATAGCATGGGGATCTGAACCATGAGGTAGAAAGTTTTCATATTTCGTAACCTAATACAGGGCCATGAGGACTGTAGGAAGTTCTCTGCTCTGTACTGGCACTGCAGGGGCTAGAAATGCACTCTTCCCCTTCATCAGCTGGTTGACAAGATTACATGTCAGTCACCTCTGGATTAAGTTCTCCTGATACTTGTTTCAGTTTGATCTTTGACACAAATGCTTTTTTGTGCTAATCCTTTAGTAACTAGGCTTGTATTTGGCTTCATAACTGTTTCTGGGTTATTGCCTACAATGTCAGCATTCCTACAACTTCTCTCCCCACTTTAACATTAAGGAAGTTGTGATTAAACCATCTCCCAAACTATTTTCCTGTTTATCATAGGGTTTCTCAGAAGTATGTTTTGATATAGAAACCTGTGTAGGATCTAAAAGTGTGTGTAAATGTGTACTATGCTTCGTTTTTTGGCAGGCTGTTTAAAAGTGATTTTCCTCCTCTAGGTATTGTGAGGAAACATGAGAAAAACTGATGGTAGTGAGTAGCAGTCTCAGCAAGTGTTGAGGACTAAGGCTTTAAGGGAAACTTTTGACTGGCATGTAAAGGAGCGAGGATTTGCTTTGTGCTGGTAGGCTTCCCGTGGAAATGGAGTATCTCTCGGTTGGTAACGTGGATAGGCTGAATTAGATTTGAGGGATAATGCTAGGACTTTGTTGCTCTAAGCAGGACCTCTTTTCGTGGAGCAGGGATAGGTGTGAATCTATGACACCAAATAAATAAAGCTCAGTGGAAGCGGAGTTGGTTTGACTTCTCAGAAATAGGTCCTAATATATATCTAAAGACCATGGTGCTGTAACTGGTTGATCTTGCTCTTTGGTGGGGGAAATACCTGTATTTTGGTCACGTAACCTCCAAATGCTTCATAAGCACATTGGAAAACTTTGACAGAAGCTGTGGTAACAAAGTAGCTAATGATGACATATTTCTTAGCTTTAATGTCGATATCTGTCATTACTGTGACTCAGTCTCTTTGGGGCAGGAGGGAACCCTTGCTCTAACATGTAGAAGTGTGTGGCTTGGCCCCTTTTAAGAGCCTACATTTCCTTTAAGCCTCCTTATTCTCTTCTCAGAATATTAAACTGCATTATAAAACATCAACAATTGTTAGAATGGAGAAGCAGCAGTTGGTAGAAGAGCAGATGGGAGAGCAGAGTTCAGATTAGTTTGGGAGAGTTTTAAAGGTTCTATGTGTGTATATATAGCTGTCATAGAGTTACTGCTAAAACTTGGTTTTTGTGCAATACTGTGGAAGGGCGAGTATGACAGAGGAGTGACGAGGATCTATCTGCATGCCATTTTGTATTTATCTGTGGTTATTAACTAATTCCTACTTTAGTCACACTTACCTAATTGTGAATGTTCTTTTTGATACTTCTGGATTAAAACTTCCGGAAAACAATAGTTAATGTTCTTTCTATACTGAACAGTAGTTATCCACTATATTGTGCTGTGGTAGTCACCTGAATAACTCCTGCTCATTATGGACATGGTTATAGGGCAGATAAAATGGCATTTACAGTTTGTTAGGCCAGTGTTGATAAACTTCCTAATTTTGAGTTGACAGTTTTATTGACTGTAAGTATTTCATACTCCATAAAACATATACTTTTAGCAAGCGTTCTTATCACTTGATGGTTTTGGAGAGTACTTATTTACAAATTGACTAGTATTGGTTACAATTTCTTCTATACTGCAGCTTTTTCTAATAGTACTATGATAAATGCTTTAGAACATAGCTTCAGATAAAAGCAGAGGTTTTTTTGTGAAATTGCTGGCTATGAAACGCCGTGTTGTTGATGACTGAAAGATGTGGCAGGAGTGAGAATGGAGTAAGTACTGCAAAATATTTCATATATGCCCTCTGCTTCAATCCTTACAAGCTTAAAAGGGAAGAGAGGGCCATGTGTCCTTTCTTAAAGGCCTCTAGTGAAGGAGGAAGTGTCTCCTGTAGAAAGCAGCGGGTGACTTCAGAGGTGGTCATGAGATCGTGAAAGAACTAAAGATCCTTTAGTAACTGTTCGAATCTCTGTCCTGTTGCATAGACAAAACTGTGCCTGTCATTAGGTCGTGTTAATCACAGTATAGAAATCTGAGGTTTTGAAATGGTGGTGTTAACAGTCATGTCATCTTATTACTTCCTAGTGTCTATTACTGCTTGCTTTACTGCTTTAAATGGTTAAATGCTTTGGGGAGAGGTCTCGGCATCTGCTGAAAACTTAAACTCAGAATAATTCACAATAAATGGATTTGCTGAGATTTTTTCTCTTTGCGTTACAACAGCATTCCAAGAAAAAATGGACTGTGGGTCACAGCTCCTGAAAGATGCTTTCTCTGTGAAAAAAAAATAAATCTTTTCGATTGCATGGCTGGTCGTCTTCAAAGATGTTGCTTCCATGAAATGGCAACTTGGTATTTCAGTGGATGCCTTGAAGTTTCTTTTCTGCCTCTTCCATGTTAGCTTGATTATGCAATCCTAAACTGCGATCTAAATGTTTCATTTGACAGTTCTGCTCTCTTGGATTGATGTGTAGTGCTATGTAATATGGTTAACTGCCAGTAACTGATACCAAATTGTCACTCAGTCTGTTAGCATACTCAGAAATGACTTACTAGCTAGTTCAGTATTAAATACCTGTGTGAAATGCAAGATTAAGCTGCAACTAAAGGTCTGTTTTGTGATGCAATATCCTTGTAGTCCTATCTTTGTAGAAATGAATTCAAAAGTACTCTCCTGCCTTTGACACTGGGTTTGATTGAAGATTTAAACTTCTTAATTATCTCCTGAAGATTGATTGTGTATTTAAATGTACAGTGATTCAGTATTACCTAAATATTGGAAAGTCAATGCCTGCTTGAGGCATTGCTTGCAAACCTTGGCAGTCTGTTTTAGAATATACGGCAGCATATTACAGATGCATCTTTTAATTCTGGCTTTTGTATCTACTATTTTTAAGAAATGTTACTTTTCAAGTAACATGAAAAGTAACTTGTTACTTGAAAAGGCTCTACTTAAACATAGTTCTTGAGTGATACCAACAAATGTATTCTCGCATCACAGGTCAGTTTTGGGGTTTATTTAAAATAATTTTTCTCTCCTTGAGCACTAGACATAATGAAAAGATGTCATGATAAAAGTGATTTAGGATATTGGCCATTTGGTTATGGGTTGTATGACTAAGTGGTGTAAATTGTTGACTCGGTGGAAGTAACAACACTGAGCTTGTGCGTTCAGAGCAATTTTGCTTGGAGTAGTGATGTGGGGGGAAATATCTGCAATCAATTTAGATTTGAAACAATGTCACCTTCTGTGCACTGTCAATTTTTTCCAGTTTAAATGTACAGGATGAATTAATGCTTTTTCTAATGTATGTCATGCCAGTTGAAATTAAACTTGCTGTTGTCTTTGAATTGTGAAGTGATTTGTTACCTGCCCAAATGTTGCATGTTGGTGGTTTATCCACACAAACCAGAGTAATTGCAGGGTACCTGCGACAGTGTTTTGGATCAGATCATCAATAGCAAATATTGGGGGATTGTTGTGTGGTCTTGCTTGGCTTAGTTGTTATTTTTAAGTGCTCTTCTGAGTTCTGACAATGGTAACGCATTAGCTAATATTGTCAGCCATGAAATAAAGCTTTTATTTAAAAAGTAGCTGTGATATACACCTGCCTGAGATCTGCTGCCATACTGCAGTTTTCTTTAGAACTACAGTGACTGAGGGAGTGAAAGGGAGGAGGGTGGTGATGTTTGAAACCAGACCAAGTCAGATCAGCATGGAAAGTCCTTGGTAGGGGATTTTTCCTTCTGTGTAACTACTGGTCTAGTGTGAAGCCTTTATTTTGAAATAGTCTACTCCAGAGTATGTATGCCTATTTTGAATAGCATGTCATGCTTATGAAGCTAGCATTTGCCATAGTGTGCTGGTGTATAAGCTCACTTTTAATGTCATCAAAAGTAGTTCTAGTAATTGCTAGATTCTTATAGGGACTAAAAGCTGGCAAGGTGTGGTCTGGACTTTAAATAAGTGTGGCACGAATAATAGGATGCCTTTGACATATCACTAGAAGTCAGATATCTAAGTGTCATCCTTTCTCCCACACATAGGAAATTAACTTTTGTTATTGTTTGACTTAAATACTTCTTTTTTTTTTTCCCCCCTTAGGTCTTAGTGGTGCAATGGCTAGTATAAGTGTTCGCTCAAGTACCCCAGGCTCACCCACTCACGTGAGCAGTGGCTCCAATGCTAGTCGAAGGAGAAATGGACTCCATGATGTTGATTTGAACACTTTCATATCAGAAGAAATGGCACTCCACTTGGACAATGGTGGAACTAGAAAGCGTACCTCAGCCCAGTGTGGCGATGTCATTACAGACTCACCAACTCATAAACGCAACAGAATGATCTAAACTGCAAAAATTTCAAACCACCATGCTGCTTGAAAGCCACTTGATCCTCAGAGTACTATTGAAAAGGAAACGTGAGGCCATCTTTCCATATTCACTGTTTAAGACAAATGAATTCAATAATTGCCATAAAGGAAATTTTAGGTATTACATTAGATGCCTCTTGTATCTGCGGCTTTCTTAAACTATATTCTTAGCAAAGGACATCAGATAATTGTGTAGTAGTTAGCAAGATCATGATAGACGAACATGTATCCGTTCCAAGGCTAAAAGTGACCTTACTTGTATTATTAAAGGGAAAGGAAATTTCAGATGTTTATTTGGTTATAGAATGCTTTCTTTTGTCCTTTATTTCCTGCTGTGTTGAGTATTTGCTTAAACAGTATTGCCAGTTTGACTGAAATTGTCTACAACATGACTTGGCATCTTTGTCAAAACTGCAGGCTTCCATTTTTGCAGCACTGTACCATGCACCTAGTTTCTATATAGTAACAGTGTGCAAGTTATAAATATTGGACTGTACCCTTTTTAGTTTTAAAAGCAGTTGATAATTCTGGTGATTGTGTGATAATGTAAAGAGGTGCTATGATGGTCATGCAATTAATACTTAATATTGACTCAATACAAGGATCTTTATTGGATTCACTTTGTGTGTTTTAGTGCTCTGAAGTAGCAATATTAAACTTTCCCCAATTAACTTCATAGGCTTTTAAATCGGTTTGAGAAAATATATGTACTTATTGGTATTATCCTTGTGGTAACCATACACAGTGCAGATTGCACCAGTGCTGCCCGAAATTTAGAGAAAGGTGTCCTGTAATTGGAAAATAGACTTTTCTGTTCAGTATTAGTGAAGGGTAGGTTTTGTGTACACCCATATCCCGTTTTACATTTCTTGTGAAGTAATTGCCCATTGCCAGGGAGGGGTGGGAGGAGAGGGAATGCGGGGGAATAGCTGCAAAAGGGGTGTGTTCTAACAAGTAAGACTTCTGGTCACATGTGGAAACTTGGACTAACTTAAACAAGACTCTGTGTGATGCCATCTCCTTCAGGAGGGAGTGACATGCAGGTTCTGTGAAGTGCTAAGAAAATAATTTAAAACTGGAAGTTGATTATAAAGCTCTGGATAAACATGCTGTAAGGATGAATTAAAAAGGATAAATGGCTTTCTTTTTGTGTTGAGCTTACATTCATAGGATTGAACTCTGGCTGCCATAACTTAAGTATAATCTAAAACTGAACTAGAGATCAAGACTGGTCTGCTGCAAATCGGTTTCTGAATGGGGAAGGATGTGTGTCAGTCTCAAAGAATGTCCTAACTATTTTTACATATAGACGCAGCAAGTCTTTGGTGGAGAGCTTTGGCTTTTAGGGCCTCTAAATCTCTGCCTAGGAAAGGGTTAATACAGGAGGAATAAGAAAATTAAGAGCTCCAAACCTGCAAGTTGGGAAGGGGTATTTAGCGAGGTGGTATGCATGCTTTAACTGGAAGTATAGGCTGATTCTTGGATGAAACGCAGCTCTGCTAGATTGACAATACTAAAAAAAATTGTGGTGATCTAGCTAAGTTAAGGCACCTTGAGCTCCATGTTAATACACAGCTCTTCAAGACTTTTGCTTACGTGCCTGTAGAGTCAGATCTTTTTTCTGTTGTCTTCCCTGTTCAAAGCAGACTTCACTGTAGTTTTGCTCCTTTTTACCCTGGTGTCCTCTCATTGGTGTTCTGTAGTCAAGGCAAGATAGCAACGATGTGTTAAATTCTCAGAATTCAAGGCTCTGTACTAAGAGCATGATTTCCTTGTTTTGTGGTGCTTCCATCAAATTTCTTTACATCGAAGAGCTCTTGAAGATGTCAACAGTTGCACAATACTGTAGCTAGAAGTTCTGTAGTTTATGGGACAAGCGTAAGAACTGTCCAAAGCAAGATAGTAAAAACTGTTCAAAACCCCCACCTATGTTACATAGCTGAACTTGCACATCACCTGAAGACTCAGTATACATTAATTTCAGTTACTGCTATTAACTACGATTCATAAGACTTATGTAAAGTATTAATACTGCATAAAGCTAGTTTTGATTTGGAGACTGCATTTTCAACAGATCTTGAAGATGGTATCTAAATATATCTGTTAGTATTTATTAGGCTGTTGGCAGAGGGATTTTTCTGTTCCAGAAGGAAAATCTGGAGTCCTGAACAGAGAGGACATGTGTGAGAACCATTCTTCAGCTGTTCTGTTTATTCATTAACTGGCTTGTACAACTAAGATGCTTATGCTCTGCAACTTCTAACACACTTAATTTTACTACATGTAATAGTAAATGTCATATTGGTATCAGTTCCGCATATATCGACTGAACTGTAACGTTGCTTCTGATCTAGCCCAAATATACAGGGCCCATTCAAATTACTTCTCCACTTCCTTGCAGTGAAATAAATCCTATTAATGCTTTGAAGCGTTAATTCAGTCTGCTACCATCTGAAACTAAATTTGTCTGTCTTATTTAATTTGTGCCATTTTTCTTTGAAAGAAAGCAGGCTTAGATATTAAACTGGTTGCTTTAATGTGGGTGGTTTTTTTTTTTGCTTGTACCTTAAATATTTGGCAACTTTTTGATTGTTTTTTGTTTAGCCCCAACTGTTGTTTGCTCTTTGTTAACCTCTGCCAGAATGATCAAAAATGCATGTATTCACCTGACAAACACAAGGAGAACAGGTTGTCTCTTAAAAAAAAGTCCAGTACCTGTTGCTTTGAAGACTATTTCTTGTGCCAGTGTAGAAAATTGATGTTCTGGAAATAGCTTTCAGCTATTATCCAAACTGTGGCTCCTGGCGCCAGAAGTGAGTTGATTTTCTGTAAGAAACACTGAATTGAGAACTGTTTAGTTTGGTAAAAATGGTGCTTAATTTTGCTTTCTCCTATGAATCGTATAGTTGACCGGTCTCTTCTCCGTGTACATCAAATTTAACATGAATGTGCGGCAAGTTACATAAAGTACATTCTGCACTGAAGCTACTGAGCTTGGCTTGCTTATTAATGAAGTAAGTTTTAAATGTTAAATTTAAATCTATATTACAATAAAGCAATGCAAAAATGATTTTGGCTGAAACTGAAGTCCTGCAGTTAAACTTACTCTCAAATGTGGTTTACCCAGCTGGAGTAATAGAAACTCTAAGTCATAATGAACCTAATAAAAAAAAACAAAAACCAACTAATCAGGCTGCTTTGTAGTTCTTTAAGTTTCTGAATAATACAGTCCATCAGTAAACCCAAAACAAGACCTGGTTAGTGCAAGTTAACAGGCTTATTTGGTTGTGCAGAGTAGGATTTTTCTTTAGGAATGCAATTTGAATGGTAGCTGTTCAGGCTAGCTACACTTAAGAGCCTTTCCTTTCTGTCTTTTATGGACTAATGAAGATATTAAGAATTGAGCATACTGTTACATTTGTACAAAAGATGTTCTGCAGAGTTTAACATCACTAATACTTAGGAAAAGCATCTTAAACTGTGCCAGTTAAAACGTCTTTAGAAAGTTAAGTGGTATTGACTTCAGTAGTGGAGCTTTCCAATCTCTTGCAAAAGACTCTTTGGGCTTAAGTGAAATTAGGTGCTCTATGTGGGTGTCCCTAAACCTGCAAACTATTTTCCACTTACTTGCTATATCAGCAGGTCCTTGAATTTCACTATGAAGGAAAGCTTTATTTCACAGGAGCTTTCAAGTGAAATTTTTTTTAAACTGTTAACATTTTTTTTTATTTCTTGTCAGTGAAATGATCCAGTGGGGATTTGGAAAGTATTCTTAAATGACTTCTAAAAAAAACCCCAGCATCTTTCAAATGTTAGCCTAGAGCCAGTAATATTTTGGCAGAAATAAGGAATGCACACTTGACTTGTTCTACTGAGTTCACTGTACCAGGTGGGGCTGCTGTGGTTGTCTGGGGTAGCCACAAGGCCCTTGTGGCTTGCTCATTGCAGATCCTCTGGTTATTTAAGGTAACGAGGAAGGCACTGGCACTTCTCACCAACTGTACCTTCCTTGTCTGCACATGGAACTCCTGTGGATAGTTTGAGGCTGGTAAACTTTTTTGAGTGCTTATGATGAAATGGATCGGTAGTCAACACTGGTGTTTTCTGCTGCCATTCTCTCATGGGGCCCCTTTCAGACTATCTCAAGAGAACAAATAAATGTCTCAAGCTCACAAGGGTGGTAGTAAATAAACAACAAAATTCACTTCTGTGTAGCGTGGAAGCATCGCCTACCTCTGTTTTCTGAGAGAGACTTAGAAGCTAAATGTTTCTCTCTGGGTCATGAGGTTCCGGCATTTCCGATGTGACTTAATTTTGACCAGTGATGCTGCTGTTCTTGTGCTAGATGTTACAGCAGCTATCTGGGGTTTTTGAACACCAGGACTGTACGCAAGGGCTGTATTTTCATTGAATAAGGTGGAATGTGATGGGGGAGCTCTAAGCGCAAGAATTATGGCCTTGTTGGAATCTGCTAGGAGCCTGTTGGGCAGACACTATGGTTTGTAGAAAATCTTCAACTTCAGTATAAAAAGCGTTCATCAATTGGTTAAGAGAGCATCCAAGACCAGTCTTAATCATGCTTTGTAATCTTTCACCATTCTTCTATCACCTTTAAGGGTGAAGTTGGTTCTAGATGCTACAGAACAGCAAGCTCTGCATGAAAGGAAATACTGGGATCCTTGTTTATATTGTCGTGATGTAACACTATCTCGCATCTTGGTTGGAAAGAAACTCATGATGCTTCTCCAGCTCTGAAACTCAAGCCTCAAGAATTCTGGTATTTTGTACATCTAGCATCCTTTTTACAAAGCATCAAACCAGAGAATACAAAATATTTGCATTTGAAGTAGGTATACTAAGAATTTTGTTCTGTTTTTTCTGGAGTTTTGATGGGGCCGCTTCCAGCTCCTGCCCATACAGCCATGGGTACCTCTGCTCACAGAATAGGGTCAATGCTGAGAAATCCAACTTTGTATTGTTACTTTAATACATGTTTTTGGTTTTATATTGGTAACTGAACCTAGCTTTCTTGCTGTGAAGTGAATTCCTTGAGCTTATCTATAATGCAGTATGCAAGACTAAGAGTAAGATGGGGAGAAAATACGAAATTTCTTCTGCTGTTTAACTGAGTAATTACTTGATCTCATACAGTTAGTAACTCCAGTTGTCTATAATGTTGCCTCTCTGCAAAGTGATGATCTTTAGACCACTTTCAAACCACAAAAATGTTGCATCTTTGGAATGCTGTAGGCCAGTCCTGTAGCTATTTAAAAAAACCCAAAACCTACTGTGTTTTTTTGAATATAATTAAAATTTTAAAGCTCTGGGGAGAGAGTTTTGCCACAAGTTGGCAGCAGAGATATTGC